TATATATATATGGAACCACGTTCGCATAGCCAGATCTTTGTTTTCGTTTTTTTTTTAAATGAAGGCTTCTCAATTGCTGTGACATATATCCATCCATTTCATGTATCAAAATTTGTTTTCGAAGATACGATTGTACCCTATTCGGTAGGCGATGTATTTCTATCTCGGACATCATCAGGGTGTGAACAGCATACAGTTTATAGATTGTTTGTCTTGCCGGAGAAGTATACACCTACACTCGCGACAAGTCTTTATTGTTTTTTGTTGTGTTTGAGAGAATAGATCCATATCCAATGATTATATGCAGAATTTTTATCTGCCAGAGATTCAAACCGTGCTTCTATCTCAACTCAATCAAATAGAGCATTCCAGATAAGGATAAATACTAATACTCTCATTGGCTTATTTGTAGCTTTCAGCGGTATTCAATAACGAAAATAACTTACTAATACCGGTCGCCCTTATGGATGGAAGCTCGACAAAACAGATGTTTGCGACGGGGAAGAAAACTACTACCCAGGACGTGATCGATAGGGTATGCCCTATGTGAAGATTGTTCGTATGCACATACCCCTCGCAATTACCGAAATAGCAAGCAAAATGCGTACAAGTACTATAGATTGTAAATGCTATGCAATAGGTTGTAAAGGTAGTGTCAAGTCAGATTACAAAACTATGTGGCATATTTCAATTTTAGTGTTAAATGTTAAAGCAATGCATCTTAACAATGCTAAATTAAATATATACTTATAATACTACAGATGGCAAGTGCTTGCGGGCTCTCTGCCAAAGCAACATCGGCATGTGCGCTATGGATTCACGAGCAAGCTTTAGGTATGTGATGTACTCACAAGTAGTTTTGTTTATAAGTACACTCCCACCTCCACGTTGAAATGGCATGCTTCACTTTTGTGAATAATACGGTATTGGGTTGTCTGGCTACAAGATGTGAATTGCTTCAACCATTCGAAAACGAGTCTACAAAAGCCATGGTTTGTCAGCTTCGAGGACGTGTGCTGCATTGGAGCGTATATCTGTCTTTGCTACAGCTCATAGTTTTTCGGATACCTCGTTCCAACAAAGCATCTGATCGTGCATGTAAGCTGTATACATATTCTGCCTATTAGTTATGTATGTATTTGAATGTCACCCCACTAGAATCAAACAAAACCAAGCTGTGAGTAGTATATTATCTTGACCATAATAGCAAGCAACCAGCCTAGAAGGGATTGGAATGCCTCAATAGTCGCTGGTTCGAGACCGATCACAGCCCATAGTGGCATCGTATAGAACACGTGCATGGCTTCCATGTATAAACCAGGCTAGTCTCTGTGCATTTGAGGGAAGAAGAAAACCACCTCTGTTTCACGCCAGCCGAGAGGCCTGGGAATGAGGTCTCGGGTACATGTTGGTATGTGCAAACCAATCTACACTGCGACTATGGCAGCCCGTCCTACTACATACAGGTAGCACACAGGGATCGTGCCTATAAACTACCACACCTGAGAATACAAACACTGCTCACTCCAACACTGTTCACATGTACAATACACGCTCTGATACACGTGTGCATACCCGGACTACTACAGAGCTCCTTCTGAAGCCTCACTATGAGCCGTACAGAGTACGCAAGCAATGGCAAGAGATCATGTACACCTTCACGCGAAGACCCAAGGACGTGCCGTGCGCACCCAGATTCGAGTTCAGGAAAAACTGCTTTCTGACCAAGGAAGCTGAAATGGCCATGGAAGACCCAGCGTTCAACATATTGCTGTATACAGAGGTGTGTGTGTGCCTGTGTCAAACTAATCTTGAACATGAGAGTTTGGCATGTCCAAACACATCTGAAAACGTTAGGTAAACGTACTGCTATGACTATCTGCCGTAGCCTAAGTGGGCATAATGCTTATACCATCTGCATCCCTTCCTCCCCACAGGCACGATACAATGTGATCTCGTGTCTGTACCCTTGTACCGAGACAGACGCCGTGCAACTGGCTGGGATCGATGCACAGCTCGCCTTTGGAGACTGTGATACCTCGATAGCCCCGGAGGACATGTTTCACAACGGACTGATCAAGCAGATCATCCCACGTTTTCTGATTGCCCGTAAAAGTACGGAAGAATGGGCCAAGCTACTACGAAAAACACACGCCCATCATGCAGGTACGGTATAGTATATTGCTAGATAGAGAGGGGATGAGGTGATATGGGGTTTAACACACATTTTTTTGGGTGGGGGTATTTCTAGCCACGAGTGCTCCTGATTTTGTCATTCATACTTTCGTTTGCCAAACCAATTTATATTTGGATTTGAATGTGGGTGTACGCCATTGCTGATTCAGCAAATGCGAAGTAAAAAGATGCTATTCGTCAGAAACCAACTGTCAGGTTAGAATCAACTGTCACAGACTCATTTGTTTATAGAAAAAAGAGGCACATAAAAGTGCTGCGTAGCGTACGCGGTGTGACTTGCGCAAATTTCTTAGAATACCCTATGGTGTCGCAAATGTGCATGAAACACACCAAGGAGTATGATGATGGTACCTTATGGAAGCTATGGAAAAGTTGGATGCCCTCTACCAAATTGCCAGTTGCTAGAACGGTTCGTTACCTCAGTATTGGTTTTACTATAGCGTGCGAACGAACAATTGTTTGCAAACGAGTATTGACAAGGAATATAAATTCATTGTGCAAGCACTGAGTACTACATTGAGGCTTCCTACAGCTCTTAAAAGCGCAATGCAATACGTCACATACAAAGAACTATGATATGATCATCCGCATCACAGGCCGAAGATCGGAGGAGTTACAAGCTCTGTACATTAATTACTGTCGCCAGTGGGGCCACTACGGCAGCACGTGGTTCTACGGTCGCGCGTGCAATGAAGCTAAAGAAGTTATTGAGCAGGATGCTCCAACGGAACTCATCCGCATTGGCGTCAATTACGAAGGCATTCATCTCATCAATCATGTCACCAACGTAAGTTTAGGCTTTGATATATACCAAGTTAGTGCTAGATAGAAAGTGATGAATGTGTTACCAATGTGATGCACGTATATCTTGCTCCGTGTAATTTAGGTCAAATACATAAAGACGAATTCAATCCTGGACACGCAAGTTCATATCACCCCCGCACACACTTACACACCCAAACTTACACACACGCCCTGTGAACCGCTACAGTCAGTGATGATCACAAGTCACCTGGACCAAATAGCCTGGTACGCTTCGGAGCTCGATAAGCTGCTGTACATCGAACACGGCAACCCAGACAAACCCAGGAAAATATCTATCATCACTCCACAAGCCAGGATTATCGAGACTATGATCCTCAGATTTCTGGCACTAGCCAGGCCGGGTGATACCAGGCCCAATTCACCGGTGCAGGTAAGTCGTTTTGTTTGTATATGTAGTATAT